CACGCAAAACTCCATCACGTGTGATGAAAGTTCCGCGGTCATGACCTGCAGGCTAGACGTCAAGCCATTAGTGCAAAAGCGGACAACTATCTTCGGTAGGGGAGTCATTAATTGTAATAAGTATGCAGTAACATGGTGACTGTATGTAATACATGCCACACATCGGCTTCTTCTCACTAGCCCTTACCTAAACCGTAGGCCTAATCTTAACCCCATATCACCTCAACCTGACCGCTGCAGTTAGCTCTTACTCTAATCCGAACTTCGAACATAACCAAAGCCCTCCTCCTCCTAGTTAAAACCTAAATCATAACTCGACAAAAATGTCTCGTAGGGCCGCCTAAAAGTCTATTCCCCTCGCCCAACTATCTCGCGGAATTGGTGGTCAAATATTTAATTCTTGGTCAACGAGTGTAAATGAATACTTAATTGTGTTGAAAGTGATCAAATAATATTAACTTATAGTCATTTATAATTTTTAATGGGGTGACCGTCAGCTCCATCAACATAAACTTCTGTTACTCAGTTAACTGATGCCCATTTGTGAAAATTTGACCTCGTATTGGCGGAATTTATCGAAAAAAGGGAAATTCGCTCTACTGAAAATGTAAAAGTAGTTTATTATTATAAGTCAAAGGCAAATATGACTTCTAAAGACAGTCCTACCCATAACTCTAACCATTACTTCAACCCTCTTCTTAATGTGCTTGAAATCTTGTGCAAAGTCACTTGCATTGCAGCCAGTTCCTGTTCTCGGGGGCCGTATAAATAATCCCTACCGTTGCCATGCCACATCAGATCCGTTCCTCACTGACGGGTCTATTATGCTGTGTGTTTTTCCCCTCTCGTTTAGTGTTTTCCAATGTCGACTTCCCATTGACGAGCATTTCATCCGACCCAACAGCCTTGCTCGGAACCACCAAAAGGTCAAGTTCCGACTTCTGGACTCAACCAATCTAAAGCAGCTGGCATCAGCCGAAGTTGAAATCCACAGACTTATGGTCAGTCCGAGAAGTTATATAATTCTACGTAGGCAATATTCAGTGGTTTTCAATTATCAAACTGTCGTCCACACTGGATCCAGAATTTAAAACGCTGGAAAAGACCATTTCGTGACCTTTACAATGAGGGAGGCCACATTTTGAGTGGTATAATTATAGGAAATGCTGTGTTTGTATGGCCGTATACCCATTGGCTTTTTGAACTAGCCTGGCTGATATTGGACCGCTCTTGCTATGTCCTGAAATTTAAACGTTTGGAAAGACCTGTGGCCACTTTTTGACCGTTCAATAGAAATAGATAGGATATTTCTCTTGATGCAGAAGTGCTGAAAACGAGGGAATGATATCGGCTGATTTCCCACCTCACCCGCCAGCATGGCGCAAGGTCACAATGAACGTTATCAGATGACGTTGTGTAAGGTTGGGCTTCACTATCATTCGATCCGCGAATGATACAGAAATATCGACGCAAAGATCGAAAAGCACTAGGACGCATTCACTGCTAACTCTAAATTCGCCGTGCCTTTCGGCAGCGAATGGGCCCGATCTGTGGGCAAAGCTTCCACCTTTGACTGCGAAGATGAGAAGCACAGGGCAAAATTTCCTCTATATTTGCGCTCATCTCATCCAGGAATCACGTCCATTACAAATTCAAGCTGCGTTAAATGTCAGAAAATCAGTCGTTAATGTCTGTTTGTCAGTGGAATTCACATGGCCGGCTACGAAACTGATTATTGTTGAGTATAATTTCAGGGTATATATTGTCTAGCCTAAGCAAAAGTTCAAACTGACTATGCAAACAGCACTGTGAAGAACTAATTATTTACATAGTGGACAGTTTTCTGTGGATGTATGACGCATGTAGAGCGAAAGTTTAGGGGAGTAAACCTAATTACTTTCTTAGCTGAGCAAGAGCGATTATTCGTCCATTACAAATCTGATAATAATGAGACGGCCGTAGCCGTGCAAATGTAATCTACGATTGGGTTCACGAATCTGCAATGCAATCGGAGTGTAGTGCAATAGTTCATGTATTCCTGAAAGATTATGCGAATTGACCGAAGGGGAATGTTTGTACACAAATCCTTTATTTTTGCTTTAATCGAGTTTTTAAGTTAACTAGGAAAAGGCAGTTTGAGGGATTGGCATGTAGGCCAGCAGAATTTAAAGTTCCTTATCTGGTTGAATAAAAAGCCTAGATGCCGACAACAACGAATTCACATTAAAAAAAATCACTTTTGAAGTACTATACGTATTGCAGCCATGAGCTTTTTCTTCTGGTTTCAGATTCCACAGAACGAAATAGTCCTAAAGATGGACTCTAACGCCAGTAAGAAGACGTCGGCTTTAGCTTCTTCCGATGTCGGTGTAGGAGATGGCACATTCAGAACACTTCATCTCAATATGTTGAATGAGGATAAGGGAACAAAAGGCTATCTACCCATCAGTTACGCATGGGAATTGTGTATTCCGGAGCCACTTGAAGAGAGAGTTAGCCGTAAGTGTTATTCATAGTGATCTTGGTTTGACACGCTAATTTGCTCAGTATGTTGATGTTGACTTTCCGATTTCCGACTTCTTCACCAACGCACAGTCCACTAGGCACAACCGACCATCGTATTAGATTGTGTCTGGCCTCAATCTATCCATCCTTGCGTGTTACATTTTTGTCTATATTTTCTCTTCAAAAACGTAGGTACCAACGAAAGTAGAGTCTGATTTGATTTGATTTCAGATACAGATACTCTAGCAGATCGACCGTCGGTTAGAGTTCTTCGTGGGGTCTTCGAAAGGTGGTTATTTAATATAACCTTCTACTTACAAATTTTAAGTAGGTTGAATTACCCACAATTTCCAGTTTTCTGCTTGCTGGCCGTCAATCCAGTAGGGTGTGGGTGAGGGCACTCAGCTGCAGGGGGTTCGAGGAACGCCACCGCATACAATAACCGCTTAAGGCAGTATATTAAGCAAAACTGGTTTCCAAAG